TCGAAGCGAGCTCATAAAACATAAAAGTATTTCACTCTGAATGTTCCCCTTAGTAATTTAAGATCATCTTGGCTTTAAAATACTCAATGATTTTATTCAAATTTGGCTCCATTTCCTCTCCTGAATGAAAAATGTCAGCTCTCCAATTCTGACTGCACCATCAAAATAATTTTAAGGAAAATAAATTCTCATGGCTGTGAATATAAAGATGGCAACTAATACTAAGAAAAATCTAATGGACAGAAAAATTTTCATTTTTATAGCCATCTGACAGTGATAGGAGAGAATGAGTTTGAAGACAGAGATGAAAGAGAAATAAAACTAGGACCTTTAAATGTGTTCAAAGACAACATTAACTGCTAGTGTTCAACTAGCATGCCAAACAAATAAATAAGACAGACATACGTTATGTCTGACAGAGATTAAGTGCAAAGAAGAAAAATTGAGCAGGGTAGGATAGGGAATTTGAGAAGTAAAGGGGCAAAGCTGCTATCAACTTGGAATGAATTTATCTCTGGAAACATACTGGTACTGGAGAGAGACCTTATAGATGACTTTCTTGGAAAGTACTGTTAAAAGTATCCTTTTATGGATTCAGTCATGCAGCTGGAGTTCCATAGGTTGCCTGATTTTCCCCAAGGGGCCCTTGCTTTCTCCCCATGTGGCTCCCCCGCCAGGGAGCTCATCCCCTCCGAAGTGATCCAAGCCCTCCACAGAGCCCAGACCTCCTGCTGAGTTAAGGGCCCAGAAAAGATCTATGAGAAGACTTTTTCCACTATTCAAGATAATTTCCTTGGGGCTAAGGAAAGAGTTATTCAGTGTGTCTTAATTTTTCAAGAGAAACAAGTCAGGCTGACTGCTCATGGAGATCAATGCTGGGAAGCCTGTAAAGAGATTAAGAGGCTCTCCGATCCCTGGAACTCCCACACTCCTACCCAGGAGACCCTGTTATAAGCATTCCACAGCAGGCACCTGGTAATGACCATGGCGCCGATGCCATCTGCTTCTGATGACACCAGGAACAGGGTGACTAGGAAGACAGTAAACAACCAAAATGACCTTCTGACTCAGTCAAGAGTTCCAGTGCCACATCCCCAGGCCACTCTCATACCTGAAGTGGACTCATGAAGAGCACATTGCAGCCAGGCTGCCTGCTTTCAACTCATGGCTCTACTAATTCCTGGCTGTGTCATTCTAGGCAAGTTGCTGCACCTCTCTGTGTATCAGTTTCCCCAGTAAATTGGGGATAACAATCATGTTAGCCATATGCAGTCTGCAGAGGATTAAATAAATTAATATATGTGAAGCATTTTAAACCAAAATACATCTACTGAGTATCTACTATTTGCCAGGCACTGTTCTAGAAGCAAATGATTAACTTAGAGCAGTGCCTGGCATATTGTACAAATTCAGTGTGCGTCAGTAATCAGATGTCCACAAACCCTTATCTGACACTCAGAGTGATTATGATGATGATGATGGTTTTAAAAAGATAATAGGATGACTATTCTATCTATATAAAACTCCACGGGAGAGGGGTGGGGTAGAAAGAGATCTGGTGTAGTGTTTCATGATCAAACACATTAATAGTCCTACAGTAAAACATAGTAAATAAACACAAACATTCATAGTAAGTGGGATAGATAAAGACTATAAATAGCCTCACATCCTTTCAGGTCAGGATTTGCTGCCAAACTTTTTACATGAAAATCTTTTGGTTTTCAGAGCTGGATGGATTTCAGAAGAGATGGTGGACCTATATATTACGTAAGGAATAAAATCCATTTTGTTTTCTTTTTCCTTTCTAGCTGCTGGATGTGCTAATGACCAAATAGCCAAAACCATTTGGGAGTAGAAAATAGGAAGCCTTTAAACATGGAAAATCAAAAACTGTATAATTAATCTATATCAATTATTACCTAAAGAGTCCCTCCCTGCCAAATACAATATATGCCATCACATTCTCAGTCAGTCAATTCATTCCCACAAACAACAGGTCTTAAACAATATGGAAGAGTTTTTCAAATTTTTGAATATAGGGTAAAATACTGAAGTTTCACCACTATTTTAATAGTACAACTTTATCTTTTCTATAGAAAAAAGGCAAGCTATTAAATGAGAATTAATTGACTTAAAAACATGTACATTAAAAGAATACAGTATTCTCTGTAGTCAGTCTAGGGGAGATGAATAAATGTCATGCCAAAGTGGTAAAGTATCCTGTGACCAAAGGAATTTTCTCCACATTGCATTTTGAGGAAATACTTGCAGCTCTTAAAGAGCTATCCAATAACTGGTTCAAGATGTTCTCACTGCTGGTCAGCAGTAGATAAAGGTTTGTACAAACCTATGGAAGCTGATTTCCCCCACCTCTTTATTACCTCCATATGTTGTTATTTATCTTCCCCAACTATTCTGACCTCTTTCCACTGATTTTTATACTGAAGTATTGCTTTGTTCAAAACCTATGTTTACCACTCCCATGGAGATCTGTACACAAAGCCAAGTCAGGAAGACATGAAATGCAAGGAGATACTTATATTGCTTCACGGCTTTCCCCCCTCCTTATTATCCTCCTACTCAATGAGACTATAGTGGGAGGTCTGAATGGCATTTCCAAATTGAGAACTTAAAGCTACATTTCAATATCCAAACCTTCAGTTGTCATAGGAACACCCCATGAGGCTTATGTCGGTTCTAACAAACAGCCACTTGTTTCACTAGCAATTAAAGCTCCCCCTTTCAATCAAATATATACATACATGTATATACATACCTCAAAAAACTTAATTGGGCAAAACTGTATGCCACACCTAAAATGCAAGAAACAAACCCACAGAGAAAGTGTTTATATCCCCAAATAAGCAAATATCAAATGAGGTCTGTCACTTGACCCAAGTCCCTTCAGTTTGTAACTTCACATACCCACAAAGACATGTGTGTACCATTAACATCTTTTAAAAGCATGTAATTAACAGCATATAAAATATTAATACTCTCAATAACCCCAGTGGAGAATTCAGAACAATGCTATGTCATTTGTTTTACACATATTATTAAAAGTTAATAAATTAATAAGAGAAGAGCAAATAGCATTAAAAACATGAAGCTCCAAAAGAACTCTATTTAGAGTTGATTTTCTAGCTTTATTGTTTCAGCCTGCATCTATCATACTTTGGTCATTCAAAACAATGGCTTATAAATAGAAAAGTAAAACCTAAAAATTACATAGAGGCATTTTTCTATTTTCTGGTAGTATGTAGCTGGATTATCAAATCATCGTGTTTTGCCAATTTACATGAAATAGAGCTGAAAATAATTGTGACTCACTGAACACGAGCTAGCAGATATAAATTACCTCTAAGTATCTTAATGCTTTATCACCATTTTCTGTCTTCAAGATTCTAAAACCCATAAATTCCTGTGCTTCATGGAAATAAGTAGCATGTTTCTACATCCTCAGTCATACCTTAACTAAGTCAAATCACCTGTAACATTCACATGTTTGGATCACCAGTCTGATTTACTGCAGGACCTGCCCTGAACTGCCATGCTTACCTTGCTTTTTATATGTTTCTTTGAAAATAAATATCTATACAGAAGTCTTGAGAACTACCAGTCTGAGAAAAATGGATCTTTAAAGTTCTCAAAGTATCTAAGAAAAAAAAAGAATACTTAATAATCCCACTAGGTTCATCTTCCTCCCTTCCACCCTCATCCCACTCTAGTGACAACAGAGAGAAATTACAGCATTGCCATCTTGTTTTTAATTATACACTTTTCCCTTTCAAGTTAAGGATTTTAAGATTTCAAAAATAACAGAATAGGAACCAAAAGTCAGAAATGCAGATTCAACTTCCAATTTGGCTTAAGGTGCTCAAGAAGAAATGAATAGTATTCTATCAGTTTTAATTATATATATTCATATTTATAAAATGGAGATCACCAAAATTGCCTATATAACCGTTAGCAGTTAAAGAACAAAATATTTTTCCATCTGAGTCTATATTAATTCCAATAAGTTGGAATTAATCACTAACTATATTAGTTCCAGTAAGAAACATAAAAATCAAGTAGCCACCCACCATCTTACTCTATTCAGCTTCTCCCACATAGTCATTCTTAAGAAATCAAATCAAGAAATCAGACATTCATGCCTAATACAAAATTGTGTTCCCTTAAAGCTCATGAATAAAAACCTATTGTATATAACACTGGTATCCAGAGCTTCATTATATTTTTCTGGAAATAAAAGATATAGGGGCTCTATGTTTAGCTGCCCTAAACATAAGGGCAGCTCAGATTCAAGATTAGAAAACTGAATTTAAGGTTTCAGAGCAAGATAGACACAGCCACATACCAGTAAGAACTGCTAATCAATCTCCCCCAAACATCACAGACCATATATACAAATCACTCTTGTGCTGTACTAATGTAATCACATACAACAATCTTAAAACTCACAACACAAATGTAAAGAAAACTATTACCACCTTAATCTGCCCTTCATAATCAGTAGAAAATGTTTTCAACACATTACTTAAATTTTTGTTTTGTAGAGTTCTAACTAAACACTTGACATCCTGGGGTAGAGGGAGAGAAAGGAAGGCAAGCTGACTAATTCGGAAAGCATCCCTCCCAGTGTCATACATACTAGTCAGACTAAATGGAAATCTATGTTGGTGGAATGTTAATGCCACAACTCTACCAAACAACCCGTTTTCATTTGCTTGCCCCCTCTAAAAAGAAAAAGGAAAAAATAAGCCAATTAATTGTATTACATATTTTGGCTGAACTGGTAATGCTCAGCTCATCTTTGTTAATTACCTGGTCTCTTCTCAGCCTTTATGCTATATTTCTGGGCTGCTCCTTCTTAGAATTCCTCACTCTGTTTATGTGTTCTCTGGTTCCACACAGTTGTTAGGGGTCTGTGAGCAATTTTACAATTCCCACACACGCCATATGATATCTATTAGGGAGCAATGCCACTTTTCACTCACCAATCCTGGATAAAGCAGTATTTCCCAGTGACAGAATGCTGCTGCTTCTGTTTGGTTAAACTCCCTCTTCACCGCTTGATAAATCTCATTATGAAATGTCTTTGTTCCAGATCACACGAGGCACTTTTCCTACAAAAGTTTTCAAAAGAGTTAACTGCAGTTCATTCCTGTTACAAAACGATTAAGAACAAGGCGGGTGAAAGAAATAGGCAGTAAGTCCACACAAGTTCCTGGCAAAGATTTTTAGCTGCATTTTTCTGAGTTTAATCAGTGAGCTATATTAAAGTGACAGTTACCCCATTCTGGGAGCCAGAGTTTGATCGTGTCAGCCACAACCAGTTGGGGTATCTTCTACTGATGTGCAGACCCCAAGGAAGCAGTCACCTGGTCATCTATCACACGTGGCTGAATCAGCGGACACCCGCAGGCCGCCCTCCTCTGCCTGTTGAGCTGCAGCCCAAGCAGGAGAGTGGCTGGATGGCTGAAGCAGGACCTCTTATAGGGACCCGCCAATTAAGGGCTGACCAATCGCAGGCAGCACCTAGTACCTAAGTCACATGACAGGGCAGTCCCTATGACTGCAGGATTTCTGAATTACTGGGGTTACACAAAGGACACTCATTCAGGAAAAGAGAAAAAAAAGCTGTAAGCTGAAACAGAAAACGCCCAGGCTGTGACAACTCCAGCTTTAAAACAGGGAACACCCGAGCCTCACACAGACAGAGAAAAACCACAACCAAGCCAGGATGGAAATGAGAGGAATGCCTCGCACATATAAAAAATTAATCACAAAGCAGAGGTTGCATTTTACAAACCCATTTCAGCTATAAATATACACCTCCTTTCCCTTCCTCTGTAGTCTCCCCAATAGTCTTACATTTTAAACTTATTTTTAAAAGCTACAGTGAGCCTCTGCAAAGCCATGGTCAGACAATGTGTGAGACACACGAGCCCCCTTCTCTTCCCAGCCCCTCTAAATACCCCTAAAGCAGATTCAAATTTTGCCATGGGAAAGTTTCTTCAACAAAATACATTTCCTTCAAAACAACTGGATAAATCAGGCAAAATTAAACACCATCGGGACAAAATTGTTTGGTAACTACCAAATCACACGTTCCCCGCCCTCCATCTCTCCCTCTCCTCCTCATGGAATCATTTTAGAATATTCACATCAAGAGGATTCTTGTGAAGAAAATCAGACCCCACCTCATGCCATTTAGGGAACTAGCTACCAATTTATTTATTTTTAATACCTCCAATTTTCTTAAATATATTTTATGTCCTAGGAAAAATTCAACTCTGAATACCCTCTATCATTTCTTTGACCCCACAAAATGGTACTTACAAAATGTTCTTTGTTTGGCTTGATCAGTTTCTCCCCCTCCCCCGATATCTAAAGCTAAAATATCCGCTCAGTTTCATCCTTCAAACCTAAAGGCCCTATTTAGATCATGCAAGGCTGTAACAACAGCTCCTTCTCCCAAGCAAGCCCGCAACACTGTGCTGCTTGCCATTCCCAATTTATGGAAGGAAGCGTATGTCAAACAAACCAGGTGATGACTCAGACTGCCTCCCCCAGCCACATTTTCCCTAGAATGGGAGGGGAGCGTAAGTGCAGCCCATTTGGATGTGACTCAGTTTTATTAGACTGGTGACTGCAGTTAATCTGACAAGCTCACATTTTTCTTTTATAACTTGTACATTTCAAGACCAGAATATGTTTCAAACAGTTTTAAAGAACTGAATCACGTGAGAAAATTGCCAAGATGATTTTTAAGGTTCAGTAAGGCTCTGGTTCTATTCCCCCATTTTTAAAACTTCATAATTATTCACTGAAAATTTTACAATTGAGTTAAGCAAACATTTGAGTTCACATAACAGCAGTAAACAGGTGTTACACATTTAGGTCTATTAGAGGCTTTTACTATGGGGGCCTCGGACTCTTTCCTTCCTGAGGACCCAAATTTAAATCCTAAATCAGGGGCCCATGTGACAGGTTCTTCAGGAAGTGGTTGGGAGCATGCTGAACCTTTCACTTTTGCATTTACTGCAATTCATCTTCTAACCTGAGCTAGTCACACAAACACACACACATTTCAACCATATCACACACACACACACACACACACACAAATCTGTACAGTCCTTTAATCCCAACCTGCCTAAAAACTGCAAAAAAAAAAAAAAACACTTAAAAACCATAAAATATCATCTGGGAAAATTCCAGCTAAATAAATTGGCGTGCCTAACAGCCTTCTTCTTCAGTAAAAAGTTTACTACCAAGAGGGGGGTGGCATTACATGGAATAAATTGTCCCCAGGTATTACGCAGGCAGGAAGAATGCAGTAATAAGAAGTCCAATTCCTCACACAAAAAATCTGGAAGGTTTGGTCTGAGCAGTTTAACCACAGTTATCTCTTTTCAGCATACTTCCTTTAACCTTGAGCAAAGTCGGCCACTGTTCAAACCAAGGCTTGTCATTTCTTGGTCATTATGCCTTGATAGATAACTAATTTGCTATAATAGAGAAAATATTCTATTTCAGCAATATATAAAAATGTTCAAATATCTCATTTTCAAGTTGGTAGATGAGACAGAGAAAAGGCATAAACAAACAGTAAAAAATGGCTAATTTAGGACTGACTATTTACTTCACAAAAGTTAATAGAAAATTCCCTTTAGGGTTTCACTGGAATAAACCCTCACACTAAATTTACATATGGAGTAGGTTTTCAGAAATTAAATTTCACATAAAACTTAAAACTGTTTCCGAATTACACTTTTGAAGCCTTTCTATTTTAACTATGTGCACGTATTTTTCAGTTATTAAAATGTATTCATACTTCAACAGGGATGTATTAATCTAGCCACCAACATTTTTTAAGTAATATTTTATTGGCTTAAAGAAAGTTACTTTCATATATGTAGAGGACAAAAAAATCCTTAAATGTATGGCTTTCAATGGAAATAAACACAGACTGTGAAGACAGAATGTTAAAATCAAACACCAAAAACTTTGGCTTCTAAAAGAATCCATAACAGATTTTAAGAGCCTGAAGCCAGATTTGCTGGGATTTGAACCCTGGCTCTGCCATTCCTAGCTGTGGCACCTGGATTAAAGTCTAATATATGTATATTTAAGTGCTGAGGACAGTGTCTGCTTGACAGATAGTAAGCACTTACATAAGGGGTGGCTATTCCATTATGATTATCCAATCTTTGCCCTTTTAACTGCTCTTTGCACCATCGTTTTAGAGTAATACACACCTTAGTCAACCCCTTAAATAACATTTCTGCAAGAGAAAAATGTAATTCCATTACTTTTTAAAAAATAATCACTTGTAACTGTTTTACTAATGATGACAAACACCTAGCCAATCTGTATTTTCCTCCCAAAGTTTCAATAGTTTACATATTTGTCTGGTTCTACATTTGACATCTGTCTGGGCTTTCTGTCCAAACTTCTTGGAATTTCCAAAAGCCAGGGCAGAATCCGGCCAGGGCCAGTCAGGGAGGACATTCAAGAAAAATTTCCATTCCAGTTGGCCAGATGGGTCAAGACAGGAAAGGTGAATGGGTCAAAGACAGGGGGAAACACTACAGCCCTGTCTGGGGGCAAGTGCTACTCTTGGCATCAACAAAGTGCCCCCAAACAGAGGCACAAGGTAGTGGCTTCAGACTCAGCAAAGAGTACCTTAGATCCACTGTTTATTCTCTCTACAAGGTCATGACATAAAACTCCACCATAGTTCCCCTAAGGGAAAAACCATGGAGTAGGGGTTACAAAAAGAAACCTCAGTATGCATTCTCTTCTATGCTGTCTTTCATTAAGAAATTTCATTTCTTAAAAGAGAAAACTACATGGATTTCCATCTGAAAACTGTATGAAGAAATTTAAGCATCCCACAAACCCTTCAGTAACAAAAGCTAATAGTTTCCAGCCAGCATATATAGCATACTTGAAGAATGATAAAAAGGACAGTAACCAAACGTCTCTGAGGCACAGGCAAACTTTATAAACATGGGAGTCCTTATAAAGATGGTGCTCGGCACTGCTCTGGGGGATAAGGGAAATAATTCGATGTTTTGTTTGAGGGCGGGCAACTGTTCCAACTTGTCTTTATCCCAGCAATGTTTCTGAGACAGATGGTGACATAATGGGGGATTGGGGGAGCCAGCAAAATGGTGAGGTGGTGGTGAGGATTACAAATGAGTTTTTGAGGGAAGGCTTGATTCCACTCCCCAGCATGTGACAGCTTGGTTCCAAGATGCACAGACCTCTTTCCACCGTTCAATTAAAGGGAGGTTTGAAGCTCCAGCACAGACCTTCCTCTCGGCTACTACTCCAGTCCCCAGGCAATCACTAAGATACCAAATGATCCAACTGTGTTGGGTTCCCACATACCAGAACTACAGGTCAGGATGCAGAAGCCTTAGGTTCCAATACTGGCTCTGGGGCTATTACCCAGAGGACTTGGGAAAGTCACTTCATTTCACTAAGGCTTTTATTTCACCTGAACAAAGGGAATAAATGAGAAAACACACGGAAGAAACAGAAATCACTGCCTTAATACTGTTTGCTACCACAATCAGCTCACTAAGGGAGAGCTGCCATGCCAGTACCAACCTTCCAACTCCTGGGGGTGAGGGGACAACAATCTTAGGCTTCCAAGTCACATTGTTCATTTGAAGGCTGACAAAGCTTCTGTTAATCAATATAATCCTTTTTATCACTCATGTTTTACATGATCAATTATCTTTGGACAGCCTCTAGATTCACTTTGTGATTATAATGAAGTATATATTTGGATCAAAAGATTAGTTTTGCACAACAGTACATGTGAGATTCCCAGTATTAGAAAATCTTGATAGAAACCTGCCTATGTGGCTATGTATATATATACCTCTACAGACATGCTCACAAACCATTTAGACTTACATAAGACTATCTGAGCATTTCTTCATGAGAAGTTGCCTCTATTCCATGCTTTTCGTGTTATATAAGCAGCCACTTTGCCCTTTCTTCCTGCAACAATTTCAGGTCTAAGCAGTATACTTCGTTCAGAAAAGTTTTTATTAGTTGTCTTCTTTCCCCACCCATTTTAAAGAACAAACTGACTCAGTTTTTTGATGGCAATGCCACTGGGTGGGAGTGAATATGGGAGTGGGCAGGGTGGGAGAAAGGCAGGAGGAGGAGGTGGTAGAAGCCAAGAGCTGAATCACAGCCATGTGAGTAATCTTAGGCTTTTTTTTTTCTTCCTAAGGGTATGAATTAAATTAAGCTTGTTTTGCTGTGGGTGAAGGAAGAGGAATATAATAGTGTGAATCAGAGCAATTATCAAATATGCGGCACTCACTAAAAATTAATTAGAATCACTGCCTTCTCTCACTTGTCTGCCAGAAGATGCTGGGGAGCTTCTGTTAATCAATATAATCCTT